GATTTCATTTCATTTAAAGTTCCGATTTTCAGTCATAGGCTTATCGATCTATATAATGAACTCTGATTTAGACAAGGCTATGAGCGGAATGTTCCATGCGTCCCATAAGCGAAACTGTTTTAATATTAAGGAATAGAAGATAGGAAGGGGGAGTGAGAATAAGACGGGCAAATACCGGAGAGAGAAGGAGATGAAGGGAAAAAGGCCGCTCCTTAGCTCAAGCGATTATTCGCTGGCTTAGGGCGGGTTTTCTCCGAGTACTTCCGTTTCCCCTGCCAATCTTCATTCCACCAAATTCTCCATCATCATAATCACCCGGGGCAGGCTACAATAGGCCAATCAGTGGCCGCCGTGCCGAGTGGACCCAGTTGGACTCAACCCCCCACTAAACGAATTTAAATTTTAATTTTTAAGGGAAAAAGGAACGGAAGAACATTGGCGAGGGAACTGATTTTGTATGAAGCAGAAAAAGGAAGAAAGGAGGAGAGGAATAAGGATAGGAAAGAAATCACGGGGAAATATGAAATAAAGGTACAAAAGGAGTAAAGGAAGGGAAGAAAGAAAGTTTTTGTCCATCCACCTTGATGGGTCATATGCTTGTTGTGATATAACACGAATAAAATATCAACCACCATAATGAAACTTATATGCACCTTGAATCAATTGGCACGTTTAGTTTCATAAGGGGTTCGACCATTCAATTTTTGCTGATCGCCCTGAAGTATTTGCAATCTTTTTTTAAACACTCTTAAGGGGAGGGTACATCAAGGAAACTGGCAACCGCAACGCAACCGCAATTTCCGAGAATTGTTATCAGCCTGAGTTGAACACATGTTACTGAATGGAGCAGAGCATAACTGAGGAAACAGAAATGCAACTCGCGGAAAGTCTGAGAAACTAAACTTCCAGGCAACGGAGCATTCCAGTCTTCTCACAATTGCGTTGCAGCGTGGTTTCCTCGTGTGAGCTGTTCTATAACGCGCTTCGGTGTTTCATTTGTTTTGATGGTACGAATGGTTGACGAAGCTGTTAATTTTATTTTTGTGCAGTTCATTGACAAGAGCCTGGTATATATGACAAAAGCCACCCAGACTGTGCTAGGCAGAGCAAATTAGATTTGGCTTTGGAAAGAAATTTTCATGGGACGAAGGAGTCTGGATTCAGGTTATGTTCTTTGAAAACAATATAAGGTCGAGGGCACATCAAAGAAACTGGCAACTGCAAACCGCGTTGCCGATTCCACTATTCGCGCTGTTCCATTCATTAACATGTGTTCAACTTAACATGATGTGAGCAACTAATCAGACGTAAGCTGCTTCACTGTGCGCCTGCTAAAAAGCATTGTATGACCAACTGTAACTAAACATTCTTTGACAGTTGTACAGATTCGTAAACTCGAATGCGCTAAAGTTGATCTGGAGCGATTTGGAAATTTGTGCGGAATAGGTTACGTGTGATATTCGTGTGTGATGGTTACGTGTAGGCCGGCGTATGGCTAATTGTAACTTACAGTAGTGTTTGGAGATTACAAGAAAGATAAGAAGTGTGTAAAAGACGTGAAGAATGACTCAGACACCAGACGAAATAGCAAAACAGATGGACGGGAACCAGGTAAAAGTATGTTCATTAGCAAAATTCCAACATTAACATATGGCCCAATAATATATGCATTTGCCGAACTTCAAAGAGATTGTTGCTAGAGCCCTTTTTTCTCACTACTTTTATTGTCTTTTCTGTTCTTCGGAATGTCTGCAAAGGTCTTAGATCATGAGGACTTTAAAGCTCTGTCTTCTGGGATATAACATTATAACTTATAAAATCTATTGGGTTAGAGTTGGTAACTATTATACTAGTTTTGTCTGCAAACAGAATTGGTTTAGATTTATTCTTAACAAAGTTTGGTACATATCACATCCATCATCAGGGTTAAAGAGTAAGGCAAGGAAGAAACTGTAAGGAAGCAGGGAGCAAGTAGAGCCTTTGGCTGGATCAGATTCCAAATTATTGAATAATACTAAAATTGATTCATCAGTAATCATGGGTGCTTTTTGTTTTTGGTCCATATTGTGCACTAGTCTGCTACTTGCTGGTCTGTCCATATTTAACACTGCCAGCATACTGAAGAACATAACTGTTGTTTGTTTTAGTGTCTTGTTGTACTTCCGGATGTTACTGGTAGGCAGAAAAGCTAATGATCAACACATGTGTCTGAGTAATAAGAGCTTAAACTGTGAGTTGGTGACCCTACCTCGCCTATTCACTAAATCAGATTCTAGCTTACGGTAACTAAACAAATGGGACATATAGTGTCAAATACAGACATCGACCTGAAGTAAGATATTTGTTACCAATTGTCTATAGATTTTCCGTCGAGTGCAACAATATATATTTTGGTCACTTATTATCTCGTCTGCCTTACATGTTTCGGTTCCAAGGAACCATCTTCAGAGGCACTTACAACAAATCATGAAAACACTGGCACAGCTCAACATCCACAGTATGTAGTTATTTGTGGAGAATATTACATATATCGGAATGTAAAGCACAACACTTCCCAGTATCTTGAATGTAGGTATAACACTTGCATCTAAAGACCACCCTCAAACCGAGTCGTCAACGTTAAAATTTAAAGTTAAAGATTAAAAATGTTCAAGTAAAATATTCAGGCTCCTTCTAGGTGAATCGTCCCAATGGAGGGAGGCGTCAGCACGGGGTTTTGTGGGCTGCAAAGATATTATATTACGTTAGGTTGTATCATTATTATATATTTAATGTTAAATAATATTTGATCCAGGCCTTACCTTGTGGTCGGGTGTATTTTACGCGATGTGTATTGCGTACTGCGGTGCAGAAAGCGCGTCAATGTTATTTAAGGCTGTGTGTATCGTGACGTGGTGGGGGGTGTGTGTGTACAAGTAGTAACAAATATTTGTTAGTTCAAATCTTACATGGTTGAAGATTTATATGAAAAAATTTTAATAAAACCTCCATTAGAATATAGATTTCCACACGTCACATTGCTGCAATATGTTGAGGTGACTAAAAACACATTACATTCAAAATTAACATAGATTCTGAGCTCAAATCTAGACTGGGAGACCAGATATCAGACTGAGGTTGTGGTGGGGTTTTCCAGGTCCTTCAATATAATTCTATAAAATATGCCATGACTGATGCCTCTCATGCACTTCCACAATTCAACATTGATAACTCTCAGCATTTCAAGATATTTAATTTCCCATTTAATAAAACGTGATTCTGGTTGATGTGTTGCACAACATGCATCCTAATCAGATTTTTTAACTGAAATGTAATGGTCAAAGTGTAGGGGATGTCAAAGAACAAGATGAAAATGAAGTTGTATTACTGAATACCATGGCTGGTAGTAGGTAGTGAACATGGATGAAGAATGGTGTCATCTAATTTGCCATAAACTTCGTTCTTTTCATGTTTTTAAACTGATAATACTTGTCCTTTGTTTGCTTGGTAATGTGGCCAAACTGTATGGTTAGTGCACTGTGAAGTTACTCCCAAAACTGTTCACATGTTATTCAGCATTATCAATGAATTTCAGTTTGCACATTATGTGATGTTGAGGTCTTGTTGCTTTTTTAGAGCAACTGCAAGCCTCTTGAAGAACTGACAGTCTCTGCTCTGAGGAATGGTGTAATGAAGGAGATTCCTGCCCTGGTAAATATATTTACGTATATTAGAAGTGGAAATTACATTTTTTAGATACAAGTGTAACAGAAAGGATCTAGAAGTGAAAGTTTGTGAGTCATTTTAAGAGAAAGTATTTTGTTAGAACATACGGGAAATATTGCTAATAAGTAAGAATGGGAATCTGCTGTAGAGAAAGCCACGTTTCTTAAAGGAGCATAGAGTTAAGGCATAAGTAAGTAACTTGTTGGGAAAAATATTGAGTAATGCATCATAGGAAGTGTGTGTTTTTGTTATGTCATGTTTTATTATTCTCTCTGTCTTTTCAGTGTTTAGTTGTAATGTTTTATATGGCTCTATGAAAGACTACAATCAGAAGACAGCAACTTGAAGTTGAATTCTAATATATAGCAATATACATTTTAAAAGCGAAAGTATTAGAGTTAAAAAGTAGATCAAAGAAAGTGAAAGCATATAAGAATAATGTATGTAGATCTAAAAACATGTATTGGAGCATTCGGTAGCGTAGTTGGTTGATGCACTTTTGCGACAAGCTGGAAGGCCGCAGGTTCTATTCCCAATGAGGCTATTGGACTTTTCAATTGACCTGATCCTCTCAGCTGAACTGTGGCCCCGGGGTCGACTTAGTCTAACAGAAATGAGTACCATGAATCTTCCTATGGCTAAGTGGCAGCTGGCACATAAGACTGACAACCTGATCGCCATCTGCGAGCTGATTGTCTAGAAGATATGGGAGTCAACCCTAAGGGCTTCCACATCCTGTTACAGGGACAGCTTTACCTTTTTTAAAAACATGTATTTGAATAGGAAAAGTATAATGTTAATTAAAATAGTTTCCAAATATTAAAGAAAATTATAACTAAGAGAACTTGATTTTATTATTCCTGTGTGTTTTAAAAATTCATGCCACATTCATGAATTCTTTGTCATATGCAAATTTTGGGACCAGTGTTCTGGAGGTATGTGGTTTGAATCTAGCTTGGGAAAGGTTGAGGTATAACAATATTCAGGTGAGCTCAGGCCAGTTTGGAATAAGATTATGTAAAATTTTAAAGGTTGAACAGACACGTGACTGAAGTTTCTTTGTTTTTTTTCCTGAGTCTTTCCCTGCAAATACCGACATGATAATTTCAAATAGATATATAACCACTTCCTCTCCAAGACTTTCTAATTTAGCTGACATAGTCATCCCAACATTTTATTTAACAGTAAAGAAAATCTGGAATTGGTACAACATTGTGAAATAACCTATGAAGCGAGCAACCAATCAGGATGCATTTTGCAGCATCAAGACTGGAGAGAAGAGCGGCAGTACTTGTACTACAAGCCACCCCCCACTGTTGAGCCCAATGGTTCATTTCCAATTGGTGCTAAAGAAGCCTGGCTGGAGAGGATGGATTTCCTGAACACGGATCTTAGATGGTTGCTTGAGCTGAAACAGTTCAGGTATACTGTGCTATTGAAGTTTGCCAGAACCATATGTAATTTGGAATGTCTTTTGACGGCATTGCAATGTGAATCGTTGCCGCATGAATATAATTTCATGTATTTATACATTTACAGATTGCACAAATATTATGTTTTTGGGCATTATTCACCATCCTGGTTTTATCTAAAACACTGTCTTGCATTGTCTCCATCTTCAGGTAAAACCAATCTCCAGACCGGAGTCAGGGACTAGCTCTATCGATTGGGCCTAACTGAGTAGGTTTTACCTGAAAATAGAGAGAGAATCCAGTCTTTGAAATGTGTTTTTAAATATAAATAGGATGGTGTTTTAGATAAAATCAGGAGGATGGATAATGTCCAGAAACATAATATTTGTAGTAATGTACAATTGTCAGAAACTTTTATATCTTATTTATAGATTGCATTCTGTGCTTCTGAAGTAACCTGCACATGTACCAAAATTTTTCTACCTTATGTCACTGTTGTATACAAGTGTATTTCTGAAATTCTGCAAAACATTCTATTGTTACTGGAGTTTTCTCGTTGGACTTTTTACTGATATGTCGTCATTAAGAGATCAGTTTTATTTTCAGAATTTCAATAACAGTACTCACTAAATGGGATTGTTAACTGTAATGAGAATGAACTACACAGTCTTATGAAATCATAATGTTATAATGTTAAAAGCTCTAACATAGTCCATCGCACATTACAGAAAAGCAATCACGTGCAACCCAGGGATGCCTAAATCAAACTGACGGTAACCCACATAAAACCAATATAACCAGAGGCAACTAAAATAGGAGGAAAGGAAACTGCATTATAGTGAGCAGCAGAATCCTTAACAATAAACAACCTGTACACCTGAAGATGGCTGAAACATATGGTGTCCAGTGAAGGAAAAGAAGAAAGAATAGTGAATGACATTTGCACAAAGACAGCAAAAAACTCCCAAGTCAGACTTATGAAATCAGCTTAAGTGTGATATGAAATCAGTTTCAGCATGACACTTCTTAATTGCTGACTGAAAACAGGAACAAAGTATATACTTTTTATGAAATAAACTACCCCCACCCCATTTTATACTTTGTGCAGCTGAGGGTTATTTGTAAATGTTTAATCATGCCTATTCTCTGAAGTGAGGTGTAACAAGGTTAAGAATCATTCCTGTTGGTTTCTTATCTTATGCTGGTATTCTTATAATTCCAGATTTTGGTCACAAATAATATACAGTGAACAGACATTGGATGTAATATTGTCATTCTTGCAAGATGCACCTCCATATTATGTAATAGAAGAGTTCCCTCAGGATGATGAGATGTGGAATAGTTTCCAGAACACCCATTACTTAGTGTTCCTTTTGTTAACTCGTCTTGCCACATACAAAGAATCTGAAGTAAGTAGTCTTTGTTCAGAGCTTCTGAAGTAAATTCAAGTAGAACAGTTTTATCAATGGGGAGAGGCTGTACACGTTAACAAAATTGATATTTTCTAAGTAGTATGTTTTGTGAGGTACATCTAAAAATATGTGCATTAAGATTATCTACTGAGGACTCCATATTTACACAAATCTGTGACACTATTCCTAACCATTTAACCCCATGGAACACAGTCCTTGAGAACCTAATAGTCACTTAGCTAGTTCAAATATTCCCAAACTTCTACGAAATCCGAAGAATCATCAGCATGTTCATGAGAGCCCCATTGGTCCCTGTCCTGAGCCAGAGTAATTCAGAGTACCATCTCACATTGATCAGGGTGGTTTACAGGTAACAATGTAGACTTTTGTTCAGGAGGTGCTCAGTTTGAATCTCAGGCAGAATACCTGCTACCCTGTCTTAGGTTTTTTTTGTAGTGCCTCAATTAGGCCGTGATCACTTCCTTCCAGATCTTTTCCAACTCATCAGTCATCATGCCATCTGACACTGTATAGTCTTGGCTTTGAGAGTACATCACTAAATGATGCACAAAAAAAAACAGTTGTAAAGAGTTACCTGTCTGTGTGCAGGTGTTCTGAGTGGTCATTTCCCCTTCAGGCTTTCCAATTAAAATTCAATATACATGTTTCTTATCTTGCAGAAGATATGTATGGTATGAAGGTACACTAACCATATCAGCATTATGCTTGTTAAGGGCCCTACACACACTCCGGTAGACCTGCCAGGTGCGTCTGTGCAGGTCGACCGGAGCGTGTGGATGATAAAATGTCGCAGTTATTGTGACCTGAACAGTCCGCCGGAGCACATTCAAAAAATCATTAGACGACCTGTGCAGTTTTGTACCTGAACCAGGCAAACCGGAGCGTGTGGTGAAATGGCCATCCTCATAACGGTATCTCTTCTTTTTAATTAATGGGACAACTAATGACAGGAGCTGTAAATAAGTTTCTTCATTCATGCGCAAATAATTGTGCCAGTGTTTGGGCACCAGCTTCAATTCACATAACAAATTCACATGTGAATAAACGTTTCTTTTCATCAACCACTCTTTGCACCAAGTTTGATGCTTACTTTTCGGTTTGAAACAATTTGTAGCTAATAATAAGCCAACTACAGCTAGAACATCGTCATCTGTAGGTACCATGTCCGACCGTAGCAAACACACAACTGAAGTAATATCGGAAAGGTGTACCTGAGTATGTGGGCACGCTGGGGTTTTCAGGCTGACCTGTGCAGGTGCACCTGACAGGTCTACCGGAGAATGTGTAGGGCCCTTTATACGGTGTTGTTTTATTTGCAGACAGAGTTTATCTCACCAGAGTATTTTGGCAATCTGATATATGATAATTATGTGTTCACCATCCCAATGATTCTGGACATCTGCATGTTGTATGGCAGAGAGAACAGGACACAGGTTCTGCAGATAATTGATACTGTCTTTCAAGTTCAGCCAAAATACCAAGAAGACCTGGAGAAGTCTGTCCATTTCATCTGCAAGGTAAAGTTGTGAGATGAATCTCATAATATCACAACAGGAGATATAGTGATCGATCTTGTGTAAGTTAGGTGTTCAATATCAACCCTAGGGACGATGGGATGCTAGAAGACCATGAAAGATGGAAAGATGAAGTACACCTTGAACTTTAAAGGAATGGGTTGTAAAACCTAACACTTGTTTATGTTCACAAAGAAGATCTTATGTAAATAAACACTTCATTTTCTAATAGATATCTTGGTGAATATACCAGTGGGTGGTGATAATGATCAGTAGTATGGAATGATTGATCAGACAATGCCACAGCCTTCTTATTTTACCGGATTTTCATGAGTAGTATGTCAGATGGTTCGTTGAAAGTGTATTTATATTATGTTCTGGAGGTATGTGGTTTGAATCTTGGACATGCATCCAGTAATCCTAACTGGAATTTCTTTTTTTCTGGCTTTTGTTGTCTCTTCAGACAAATGCCAGGATAGAACCTTAAAACCAGCTGCAGTAATTCATTTCAATTCAATTCTTTATTATTTGTGTGCTGAGCCAACAGTTGCAAGGCGAATTACAGACACAGCACAGTGTAGATACATGTAATTACATTATGTACAATCACAGCATAAAGTTAAAGACAAATGACATAATAATAATAATTTCATTATCACAAATCTAAGTTTGCTATTGACAATTGAGAAATTAAAAGTGTAGATATTCAGAAAGAAGAAGAATAATAATTCAGTTTAATTGTTGTTTATATTCGTGCAAATAATAATAGTAACAATTATACCTCTGTGGCAGCCTGGGTTCGATCCAGGGTCTGGTCAAGTGGGATTTTTGGTGGACAAAGTGGCACTGGGGCAGGTTTTCTCCGAGTACTTCAGTTTCCCCTGCCAATCTTCATATCACCAACTGCTCCACAATCACCCTCACCTATCATCTGGGGCTGGTACAGTAGGCCAGAAGTGACCGCAGTATAAGGGACTTAGTCCCACCCCACTAGCAATAAAAGAAACAATTATACCATATTTAAAAATCATTGAGGAGATCGTTCCTGCAGACAGCTTTAGCAGCTGCTGCACATCTAGCAGAGGGACAGTTTGTACATGAGGAGCAGACATTGAACAATGTAAAGTCTCTGATATACCGATCAGGAATTTGGAGACCAACAATTTCCAAAATAGGAAGGTAGAATTTTAAACCAAAGTAAACTTGAATTAGAGAGCATCGAGGCAATGTCTCCTAATATGTAGAGTATGCAATTTTAACTCCTCCCGAGCACACATTGATAATGTTATTACTCATTATGTTGCTACTTAGTGAAACCATGTATGTTTGAAGTTTGAATGTCAGGTACTTTAAAACTTTAAACCGCTTTTCTGGTTGTGGTGTTACCTCATTCTGCAGGGGACACTTGTTTCCTTGTACTCACATACAATGAATCTGTATAATATTTAACTGATAATTCTAACATTACTAACACAATATAAACCATATATGACATTTATATTGTGGCATGGACAGCGCAACGCTTGGTAACACCCCCCCCCCCCAGCGGTGACATAACAGCATCGGAGCAACTGTCGCTGCTACAGTAACAGGCCACTCAACACTCTGTCCCCCTCCCCCGCGGTGACGTAACAGCACTTCCTGCAGTGACATAACAGGGGACACTGCGGTTGCTACACAGCAATGAACAACTCTTGGCAGCATTCCCCAGCAACGCCTGTAAACATGGCATATACACAACAGTGGTAGCTATCACATAACTGTTTTCTGTGTTGTCAGTGTGGGAAGCTACATAACGACAGAATTACCAGAGTAACCAGTCAGTTGCAGTCTAGCATTCGCCAAAGTGAGTGAAGTTCATTGTTATTGAGCTGTATCGAGTGAATTGAAATGACTACAGGAGAAGTATTTGTGATACTGCTGATGCCAGTAGTTGTGAGACTGTGAATTGTGTAAATGTAAGAGCAAATGTAGAATAAATTCGCTAGATCCAAGACGGCATGAAGTTATTTGTCATGTTACATACCAAAGACATGACAATTAAGTGTCAGAATTGGTTTATGAACTTGAACNCCGCTGCTACAGTAACAGGTCACTCAACACTCTGTCCCCCTCCCCCGCGGTGACGTAACAGCACTTCCTGCAGTGACCTAACAGGGGACACTGCGGTTACTACACAGCAATAAACAACTCTTGGCAGCATTCCCCAGCAACGCCTGTAAACATGGCATATACACAACAGTGGTAGCTATCACATAACTGTTTTCTGTGTTGTCAGTGTGGGAAGCTACATAACGACAGAATTACCAGAGTAACCAGTCAGTTGCAGTCTAGCATTCGCCAAAGTGAGTGAAGTTCATTGTTATTGAGCTGTATCGAGTGAATTGAAATGACTACAGGAGAAGTATTTGTGATACTGCTGATGCCAGTAGTTGTGAGACTGTGAATTGTGTAAATGTAAGAGCAAATGTAGAATAAATTCGCTAGATCCAAGACGGCATGAAGTTATTTGTCATGTTACATACCAAAGACATGACAATTAAGTGTCAGAATTGGTTTATGAACTTGAACACCCCTCAACGAATTATACTGCCACAAACTGGAGATGCAGCAGATAATCGAATTGCTGCTGAATGAATTGAGGGCCGACTCGAAAGCTTGGCGAGAAGAAATGGCCACAGAAAGAGAAGCCATCGAAGCAAGGACGGTTGCCATGTGAGAGAAGAGGTTGAAAGCCAATATGAATGCCTGGCAGAATGAGATGACGGCCTGCCGAGAAACAATGGAGGCGCTTCTAGAAGAGGAGAAGCCGGCCTCAGTGGACATGAAACCTGAGGCAGCACAACAAGAAGAGGTCCCTGTAGAAGATGCCACAGTGATGCCAGTCAGAGAACTGAAGAAGAAAAGGCGTAGGGACCGAAAACTGGCTGCAGAGCGTCGCCAGTAGATGAATGAACAGGCCCAGTTTCAGGATGGGTGCTGAAAAAAAGGACTGGCTGTCAGCAGAAGAGGGATGAGCTGCTGTGTGAAAGTGACATGGCAGACTAAGAAAAACGACAAGAAGATGTCCCACCATGCAATAGTGGCACGACTCAAGAGAGACATCCTCAGGGCTAACAAGACCCAGGAAAAGTGTTGACCGCGGAAGGAACTGTCCGCTGAGAGAAACAAGATGACCTGTTGCGCAGAAGTGGTATGGTGTAGGAGACACAGGGTCAGAGACAATGCTGCAGCAAGATCCCAGAGAAGACAAGCGCTCTGGAAGCGACGACTAGTGCACCCGGGAGACAACAGAAGAATAAGGAGCCGAAACTTCAAGGAACCCATTCTTAGAAGCATGAAGACATTACATGAGGCCCTTGGACAAGCTCTCGAGTTGGAGGGCGTGAAGGGAAGGATCTGGATTTCCAGTAGATTAAGAGAGATGAGACACTGGACACTGTGGAGGGGTCAACCCCCTCCGAAATGGAAAAAATGGAATAGCACAGAGGAGGAGCTGGTAACGTATAAGCACCGGTCTTCCCAATGAGAGTGAATGAGGAGTGAATGAGCGACAAATGAATGTGAAACGACAGAATCAACAACCGCTGGACCACGGAATTGCTCGAGACAAGCATTTTTAAAAAGGGGGAGCGGAGGTAGTGCCCTGAAGATGAACACCAAAAGAAGATGCAGAAAGCACAGCCTTGAAAGAAAAGGAACGGGGGTGCACCATTAGGCTGTTCGGGACAAACAACCTTTAGAATGGAGCAATGTGACATGGACGGTGCAACGCTCCGTATACACCCCCCCCCTCCAGCAGTGACATAACAGCAACTGCCGCTGCTATGGTAACAGGCCACTTAACACTCTGTCCCCCTCCCCTGTGGTGATGTAACAGCACTTCCTGCAGTGACATAACAGGGGACACCGCGGTTACTACACAGCAATAAACAACTCTCGGCAGCATTCCCCAGGAAAGCCTGTAATCACGGCGTATACACAACAGTGGTAGCTATCACATAACTGTTTTCTGTGTTGTCAGTGCGGAAGCTACATAACAACAGAATTACCAGAGTAACCAGTCAGTTGCAGTCTAGCATTCACCGGAGTGAGTGGAGTCCATTGTTATTGAGTTGTATCCAGTGAATGGAAATGACTACAGGAGAAGTATTTGTGATACTGCCGATGCCAGTAGTTGTGAGACTGTGAATTGTGTAAATATAAGAGCAAATGTAGAATAAATTCGCTAGATCCAAGACAGCGTGAAGTTATTTGTTGCGTTACATACCCAACACATGACAATATATATGCGCCATTGCTATTGATAGTAATGCATGCTTCATGTATTCTTTCTGAATGCTTACTGCTTTGATTTTTCCAGTAACATCATACTCTGAAATATATCCTTATTTTGAGACTCTTGTGATTGAATATTTATGTACGCATGATATGATCTGTGTCAGCATGCATGTTTGGTTATTGTATTGTCTTTTATGCATAACGCATTTTCTTCATTACAGTATTCTGCACTTTCCTCATGTTTGCAATTTATCTCTTAACTGGGGTTTATTTTCAAGCATCCTTTGGCTTCAGGTTTTCAGGTATATAGAGCAGAAGTTTGGAGGGCAGAAACTACCAGAAGGGGAAGTGGTGAAGCTCTTGGAAAGTTCAAACAGGCAAGAGGAGATGATGCTGTTTGAATTGAAGGACATGGTTCTATATGTGCTGGACACTGCAGCAAATATAAGTTTATTTCTAGATATATGTAACCCTGCATGCAAGGTGTTCCATCAGCAGAAGTTTGAATTGAAGTAAGTATAGGGGACATGGTGAGTTACAATGAAGCAAACTCATATTTGACATTCCAAGTAAAGTGAGTCAGCTGATTAGTGTTGTTACTGATTCCCATTGACTTAGAAAAATTAATCCATTTTGTCCAGTCAAGTGCCATGTCAGAGATGAAACTCCAAACTTAAAAACCAAGGATGTAATAATGTGCATTCTTGCCAGGGTGTCACATACATCACCAGTCAATAACAGATGCCTATGGCTCAATGGTGATTGATAAATGTAGAGGAGCAGTGAAATGATAATTAGGAGGGTTTCATTCACCATGAATCTCACATGAAATCACTTGGGATTGAACCCTGGCCTCTGCAGCAAGAAGCCAGTGTGTAACTGCATGATCTGTGGCATGTCTGATCACCATTTACTAATAAACGCTTAAGCGGCCTCCGTAGTCTAGGGGTAACGTTCCCACCTCATGACTCAAGGTACGCGGGTTCAAACCTGGCAGAGGTCGTGGAATTTTTAAGGGCGGAAAAGTTGAGGGAACAAGTCCTCCGGGAGGGACTTTAAGCCGTGGGTCCTGTGTCGTAGATTTACGGCATGTAAAAGATGCTCATGTCTCTAGGCGACCTCTTAGCAAAATTAGGCAACACATTTCCTGCCCAAGTAGTTTCCAATGCCTCTGGTAGATGGGGGAAATATCAGGTACCGAGGGCCGACCTCGTTGGCTGAACGGGGCTGATAGCACTCACCAGTACCGGTAGGGTATGGAGACAATAGAAATTAAAGGGGGACGCACAATGGACCAATAACTGGTCTATGTTCATTGGGAAACCCACCCCCTCTAATAATAATAATAATAATAATAATAATAAACGCTTAATCAGTTAAGATTTTTCACAAAAAAACTATGACATGCATTATTATGTTATAATAAATACATCATGAAACCTAAAGCTGTAAAATGTTGGTTTAGGCTGTTTTGAACTTTTGTACTACAGATCTTTGGGAAATAGCCAACAATAACAGGTCTTTCTGAGCACCATGGTGTAGTAGTTACCACTTCAACATATTTTGGAAGTTTCTGGCTCTAGATATTCTGGAAATGGTATTTTTCTGTGGTTTTCATGATCTTCCTCTGCTTCCCAGCAGACACTCAGACCTTGCCTTGAAATAAGCCATACCTACTTCCTTGCATATTTATCCAATGTCATCATTGACAGCCATGTCTCTCCACTTTCAGTGTGATGTAGCTAATCCATCTGATGAAGCAGTATTAAATAAAGCTAAAACAAGGGTTGGTGTTAAGGAATGTTAAGATTATATGTGGAACACTCACTCAGAAGTAGCCTGTGCATATGCAGAGTAAGAATGAAGGCAAAAACATACTACATCTGTATATATCGGTCCATTTTGTATTCAGTGCTATATATGTTTTTCTGTTAACTGTAATTCTATAGAAATACAGACTTTATAATAGAAGTCCGTACAAACATGCTTTGTTATTAGGATAGCACATTTCTATGAAAACACAGTGCCACAGATCTACAGGAAGCTAGAGATGCTGGCAAACAAGGATGACATGCAGCCCATGTATGTGCATCTGAAGCATAAGTTGGATGTGACGAGAGTGGAGTTGCTGAAAGTCTTCCACAGCTGCCTGGTCACATGTCTAAATTCCCTTCTGGAGCAAACGTAAGAACCACATTTTACCTCCAAAACAATTTAATAGAATCAACTCAAATTTGATACTGAGTGCCTGTACTAAACATCTTCAATCAAATTCTGTTTTAGTTTGTAGGGTAGTCAGTATAGCTACTAGCTACGGGCTGGACGACTGAGGGATCAGAGTTCAAGTCCCAGTAGGGTCAAGAATTTTCTCTTTTCCATGTCATTGAAACAAGCTCTGAGGTCCACCCAACCTCCTATCCAATGGGTACCAGGGAGCTCTTTCCCCAGGGGTAAAGTGGCCGGGGTGTGTAGCTGACCACTGACCTCCAGCTAGTGCCAAAGTCAAGAAAATGTGGATCTATACGTCCACTCATCGTTATGCCTTCATGGCATAGTGCTTTGTTAAACACTTCCCCATGAAGGCATTTGGAGGAGTGGATGTATAGACCCACATTTATCCAAATAAAACTCATCCCGATGAGGTCATTGGATTTTTTCAGTTGACCTAATCCTTCCAGCCACACTAGGCCCTGGGGTTTACTCAGCCTCTAACAGAAATGAGTACCAGGAATTAATTAAATAATTTTCCTTGGGAGTAAAGCGTGGCCGGCGTGTAAGGCTGACAACCTTACTGCCATCTTTGAGCCGATTGTCTAGATAGTGTGGACCCTCAACATCTCACAACCCTGTGGTCCTTCACGGCCTGGTACAGGGATAGCTTTACTTTTTTTTATGTGATATGTTGTATTCACTGATGGCCCAAGGTGAAGCAAGTGATTAGTGGATGACTGTCCAGCCTTTTGAGTGCTGAGATTCAAACTACACACCTTTCAAAAATAAATCAGAATCATTATTGTCTGAGCCAACTTGCTTGATCTGTAGACTATAAATGTATGAATTGGGAAAGTAGGTTTCATGAGTTTTGTTCATAATTCCTTGCTTATATGGTGTATGTGGGGCACGTGGTAGTGTAGTTGGTTGAGGCACTATTCTACAAGCCGGAAGGTGGCTGGTTGAAGTCCCAGTGAGGTCACTGGATTTTTTTAATTGACCTAATCCTTCCAGCCGCACTATGGCCCTGGGGTCGACTCACCCGCTAACAGAAATGAGTACCAGGAATTAATTAAATAATTTTCCTGGGGAATAAAGCGTGGTTGGCGTGTAAGGCTGACAATCTTACCACCATCTTTGAGCCAATTGTCTAGATAATGTGGGACCCTCAGCGTCTCACAACCCTATGGGCCTTCACGGTCTGTTATAGGGATAGCTTTTTTTTTTTTTTACTTTTACTTTTAAATAGTGTTCGTTTAAAGCAATACAAGAATGAAATAATATGAACTTATGCTCTGTAGTATATACTTTACCAACAGCAGGATTTGTGACACTGAATTAGGGCATTTGTACTGTTGTGAAAGTCTTGTATCTGGAATTATTCAGAATCTCATTGAATGCAGTTTAGAAATGTGTGTTTCAAACTGGAATGCAGATATTTTTCAGCTTTATTTGTTTAATGTTTATTTTAATTAATGTTAAATTAAGATTTTTGTATTACTGTAGTGATACCACAACAGAGGCTGAAGTCAAGAGGTATGTTGATGACTATGTGGGAGTTCTGACTGAGTGTCTCACTGAGAAAATGTTCATTCGTGACTACCACTCATTATATCCTATTGATGAGGACCTCGATGCCATGTCACAAGTCTGCCCTGAGATGTATCCTTAGTACAGAATGATTGAAATTCTTCATGATACTGGATTGAATTATAGGCAGTGCTGATATATATGTGAGAATGTACATAAAGATGTGCTGATATATATGTGAGAATGTACATAAAGATAAAATAAGATTATGCCGTTATTGTGAGAGGCATGTGGTAGTGTAGTTGATTGAGGTACTATGCTACAACCTGGAAGGTTGCAGGCTTGATTTCTGGTGAGTTCATTGGAGTTTTCAGTTAATCCAGTCATTCCAGCTGTACTATGGCCCCGAGGTCAACTCAACATCTAGCAGAAGTGAGTACCAGGAATGTTCCTGGGGGTAAGGGGCAGGCAGCACATAAGGCTGACAACATCATTGCCATCTGTGAGCTGATTTTCTACAGAATGTGGGAGCCTCGACATATCACAACGCTATGGGCCTTCACAGCCTATTACGGGGATAGTTATACTTTTTTTCGTGTCATTATTGCTATAGTTCATAAGGTCTGAAGAACTAACACATTGTCACTGTTGCCAAATATGACATTTCAGAGTGTGTGTAATTAGATGGAACATGAGTGACAGAACATTTGTTTTCATCATCATCTTCATGGATTAGGCCATGCATGGTCTCTCCAAAATGCCACATAAATACCGTATTTACGCATAGGCCGCAGCACAATTTTCAGACAGAAATTATAGAAAAAATAATTTTCTTGGAATATTATTTCAGGAGTATTACACTCTGTATTACTAATTATGAATATAATTTTTTTTTATAAATTAAGTGTGATTTCGAATATTTCGAATATAAGCCGCACCCCAGTTTTCCTCTTGAATTTTTGGCAAAAAATGTGCGGCCTATGCATGCGTAAATACGGTAATTAGATTAGAAATACCAACTTTCCTAAGCAGTTGTGTTCCTATTTGCTGGATGATTGAAGGCTGAATTGTTAAATTGAACATGGTCCCCAAGTTAACAGTGAACCAAATTTGCTCCATTTGCCTGGTTTGAGGAGTTGCATGTGATGTAATAAATGACTAAAGAATTGCCAGTTCATTTAGAGATCTGGACCACCAGCAAGATGAATGATTTACATTGTTTTAATATAATGATATGCATATTAATTTCTGTATCATGTCAAGCCAGTGGCAGTCATACATATCCTGCTTCTGTAGATACATGTCTCTCTTGCCCTTCTAATGCTGTGTGGGAGGTAGTGAAAATATGCAATAATGAATGTAAGGATAGTAGTTAAAGAAATGGACCGATTTTGAGTATTCTTACACTTATACTCATGAAAATAATCATTGCAGCAAAGGACCATCCATCATTTCATTGTTGTAGCATGTCATTTCACAAAAAGCATTTCACACCATAAGGAAGGCTGTTCTCCTTAACTGTATGGATTAGGTGCTTCCTGAAATGTGATTTTTTGTTGGAGGCTGTTCTGTCATGCTTTGATCTACCAAGTCAGAGCGAAATGAAGAGGTTGATGAAGGCAGGGGACAGAAGACAAGAACCATTGTCTGATTCACAAAAGGTTAGTGTTTGGTAGGACTTTATGGTGATGCTTTGCTTCATTTGAAGTGAAAGAGAGAGACTGGAAAAGGTAATGAGATGAGAATAGTATAATTATATGGAGTGGAGCCTTTAATTCTTGTCTGGTGAAGCGAAGGAATGCATTTCTGTATTGGGTACACCACATCTCTCCATGGCAGAGTGATGGTATAAAATTGACATTATTTAAGAATTAAAGTATTGAAAGTAGAATTTGATTTTATATTTAGTACAGCATTGTGATTAAAGCTATTGTAACGTGTTTGGAGTAGATACTTCCATGGCAACGCAATAAGAGTGGGCCGCTGCATAGACAACACCGAAACAACAAACGCGTTTCCCCGGAGACGAACAACAGAAGGCTGTTGAGTATCAACGGATGAGACGAAACATGTTACCGCCGTAATCTATAGAGATCATTCCCGAAGCAACGGATTGGCGAACAAGTGAGATCGAACCTTGGCGAATGGTGTCTGGTATCCAGTCCGGAGAACACCTACATAAGCCGAGAGTGACAGAGCTACAACAGCACAGAGCTAATTAGCCTTCATACACTGCAATTGGAACCCAGCCTTCATGCAAGACAGTTGGAACCCAGTCGAGATGTCGCAGAAGCCACGTGATACCACAAGCGATAATACTTGTATGGTGTATAAGTGTGAGTGTCCAATAAAGATTCGCTGAATCCGAGACCCATGTGAATTTATTTGTTGCGTGACATACCCAACACGTGACACTATTTTATAAAACTGTATAACAGCTAATAAAGATACACTAGATCAGCACTTCTGAAGGTTACCAAAAAATAGTGTTTATTTATAGTTATTTGTGTTAATTTACTACTACGACCTTGAGAGGATCATACACTGTGTAATGAATTCAGGTGTTTCCTGTGTTATGTGTCTTTTTAATCTTATTTTTATGTACTTCCTGTACTCCAATTTGAACCGTTTGTATGAATTGCACATATTTCCCCCTTTTAGAATGGAGAGGCAACTGCAAGCAAGGAGTCATCATGTCCTGCAACACTAAAGAAGCATGTAACAGGAGTTGAGCTGGAGTCTCTTATTAGTGAAATCAAAGATGTCCTGCCTCATTTGGGAAATGGCTTTGTGGAGGTAACACTGGTTCTCGCTGTATGAACAAGTCACTTGCTGTAAGTGTTGTGTAACAACTTCAGCATTGAATCATCAATCAGTGGAAGACAAATTTAATTATTTTGCATGAACCTGTGCAATGTATCTTTGAGAATATGTTTTAAATAATGCTTTGGTGAGGGCTATATGGGTGATAGCTTGAGAGAAGTTTCCTTTCTCTGGAAACATGGATGGGGTAGGAGGAGGAGGAGAAGAAGAAGAAGAAGAAGAAGAAGAAGAAGACAACGATGACAACGATGACAATATAAGTGCTCTGGCCTATCCAACATTTATAAAAGACTATGTCTTACAGTTTTTTTTCTTTTCCTCGAATGGTGTAATCTGTACAAAGCCAGTTACTTGTTTTGGACTCTGCCTGTGTCCTCAGGTAAAAGGCGTATTCAATTGGGCCCAAACAATAGAGCTAGTCCTGGCTCTTCATGCTGGGCTGTAATGTACGAGGGTAGTTAGTTAGTTATTGGAGAGGGTGGGTTTCCCCATGCACTGAGACCTGTATTGGTCCATTGTGCTTCCCTCTTTGATTTCTACCAGTCTATATCCTACCAGTACTGGTGCTTACCATCAGTCCCGCCCAGCCAGCGAGACCGGCTCTACTAGCTGAGAGGTATCTATAATGCTTCCCTCATCTACCAGAGGTATTAGAGACTGCTGTTGGGCGGGAAACGTCCGTTAATTTGGCTCAGTGACCTCCTTTGGAGATATGAGGTTCTTTTACGTGCCGTAAAGCTACGACACGGGACCCATGGCTTAAAGTCCCTCCTTGAGGACTTGTTCCCTGAATTTTTCCGCCCTTAAAAATTCGACGACCTCCGCCGGGTATTTGAACCCGTGTACCACGAGTCATGAGGTGGAACGTTACCTCTAGACTATGGAGGCTGCTTTTTAAAACAGTGAAATTGCTAGTCATCAGTTCTAAAGTGAAACAGATGTAACATTCTGTAGCGTGGAATGTGTACAGCTCTGTTGCAGTGCTGGGTTCCTCTCAACCATGACATATTTTGTAGTGCATGTTTCTTTGTGCTGTTACAGAAGTGTTTGGAGAATTTCGACTTTGTGAGTGAGTCTGTGATAAATGCCATATTAGAAGACACATTGCCAGCAGATTTAAGAGACTTGGATTGGACATTACCACGGATACCTCCAGATGTAGTGGTACTCCAAATAATTTATTTTCTGCAGCTAACAGCTGATATAAGATAAAATAAAATCTAAAAGCTTTTCATTGTTCTTGGTGTTATACAGTAGAACTTGGTTATAACGTCATCAAAGGGACCTAAAAATAGTGTCGTTATAAACGAATGTCGTAACCGAAATGGGCACTTCCACAGTAGCCTTATGTTAGTCATGTAAAAATCTACCAAAAACCGAGTT